TCATTTTGGGATTATTGTCTATTGGAAAAGTCAAAGTGGAATTAGGGACCTTTGACTAGGTCATTTTCACAAGTACCCCCCGAAACCATGGCTGAACCAAGAAAATAGGCCCTTAAGTTTATGAGGTACATAATGATTTAGGGTGTAAAAAAGAGAGCATGAAAGTTCTTTTTTTATATGGTTGAAATTTGTTTGACTCAATCATATCTCACTATATCACATAAATCATTATGTATGTAGCACAATCGTTAGTTTATTCAACTCTATCACATGCACAAAATTTCTGTACGAATAGATTGACAGATGTCTGTCTCTTGATTTGAATTTCTGATAGATAGGTATGCATCTGTCAATCTACTTGTACAAAATCACCTGGACAAGCATGTAAATTGAAGTTTATTTGATATCGTGAGCTTGTTTGAGCCTCTCTTTTTTTATTTTTATGAAAATGTATTTTAAAATAGAATTTTGATGGAGAATGTGGTTACAAAATTAAAAAAAGTTTGGATTTGTTTGTAATATTAGTTTATTGAAGAATGTGTGATTGAAAATAAGAAAAAGAAAAATGTATTTTGAAAATAATGAAGACCAAAAATTGTCGAATAAAACTACACTTTTAGTTGTGAGCAAGTGATATTACGTTCATGTTTGAGCCTCATTATTTAAAACTCATTTTTAATCATACATTGTCTCAATTAAAATAATTTTATACAAAAATTCAAAACTATTTTTCTACTTTTTAACTACACGTTTTTCAAAAAATCACTATTACAAAATCTATTTTACATTTATTCATTCTTCTTTGAGAAATATAATTAAATGAACCACTTAATTCTACATTTCATCGAGACTAGTACTTAATACCACTTAAACTGATGTTATAGTATCATTGGTATTAGAAAGCATTATTCTATCTATATGCCAAGGATCGCCTCTTCTATGACGGTGACGCCTGCATGGTTATAGTCGTTGGATCAATTGACTTTCTTCTATTGGGTGTTCCAACATATACCTCTCACTTTCTCTCTGTTGTCAAGCAATTAAAATTCGCTATTCAAATACTCCTCTTTCTTTTTCTTTTGTATAGAGAAAAGATGAAGGCATTTGACTCGACGGTGAACACTAAAATCAAGCTAGAGTCTATTTTGGTATTTTGAGGGTTTGATGCCCTACTCTTATTTGAGAGGATCCTCTAGTTTTGCATGTAATTGAACTTTGATTATTATGGTGGTGTTAGTGTATTTGAGAGTTATCATCTTTTGAATGCTCAACAAATGAATAACTTCTTTTGAACTAAACATTAGAATTTACGAGTGATAAAATCCTTGCATTCTTTACTCTTTTTTTCTATTTTTTAAGCGTTGATACTAGTTGGATCTTGTTTTGGCACCTATAGGAGTTTCGATTATAATTTTGGGATACTTAAGTTATGAGTTGATGACAAATCGTCAATTTGTCCATTAATATAACACGTGCAAACCTTGTGAAAATAAAGAAGGAAAATAGAAGAGTTAAAGAATAATCTACATCCCACCCTACTTGGGAGACGTTTTGGAGTGGGGTTGAGGATTTTTTTTTTATTATTCAAAATAAATCTATAAATCGATTTTCAAACAAAATTTGACTTCTTTTTAGTACAAAAAATATTGAGAATTTGAGGACTTACGCACTAAAAAAACCCAAGTTAAGAACTCAAATTCTACATGCATTGTAAAGATCAAGGACTCCGAATGTTACTTCTTCAAAGAACAAATAAGCTCCCGTATATTAAAATTTTCATTCTTATTCTTCTACTTGTGTTCAACCACACATTTTTTAATAAAATAATATTTTCCATTATATCAATAACTTTTTATTTTTTTCAACAACACATTCTTTATCAATCTACTGTTCCAAAATACATTCTTTCCAAATGGACACCGTCACGGAGCACAGTAGCAGTGCTGCAGTGAAGGAGTTCAGCAAATGCATAATAGTAACATATACAGAATAAAGGTAATACATTCATTCATCCATCACAAGTCTCTGAAATATCCAGTTTTGTTGTTCAGATCCTTATAGCAACCACAGGCCGGGCCCCACGACCCCACCTATCCTTCGCTGGAACTTCAAGTTTTTTTTCCCGGCCGACATGACCACATCCTGGCCACCCACCCATCACTTGATTCAAAAAAAAAATCACTCTTTACCGTTAAAGGTCCGACTTTTTTTTCTCGTTTTCTTTTGGCTTACGGCTATGATTATGTAATTTCGAACAAATGGGTGTTTTTGAATCAATTTCTTCATTAATTTATTATCAAATGCATGAATATGTGCATATTAATTTGTGGGTTTTATTGTACTGAAGTACAAGTGCTTTTTCTTTTTTGTTTCTTAAGTAAAGATTCGGTCTTCGGCAACGGATTTGGATTTGAAGTTGATAGGTAATAGGGTTCTTTGATCTTGAATGAGTTTGCATGCAATGGACTGATGGACGGCTTCGATCGAGTTGAATTTTGAATAATTAAAAGGGAAGAACGGTTCTCTAAATAATGTGATTGGATATATGCAGTCAATACTGTGTCGGTTGTGATAGTTGGTTAATGCAAATGCAAGCTAAGCTTAATTAAAAAATTTGGATTAATTTTTATTAATGTCTTGTACGGATAGTATCATATGATCCAAACTTGATATCTACTGGTGGTTGTGATATTCTCAAGTATTTTTCTCCTCCTTTCGTCTTACTCATTTGGTTTCTAGGGTATTAGATCATTAGATTTTTTCGGCATTTCACTTTGAAAAATTGCTTCTAAAATTCTTGGTGAAAGGTACAATGCTTGGAAGTACCAAGAAGTTAAGGTAAACATGTGTGAGGATCAAGTGAGAATTTGAGTGTGCGTAATTGTACCAGTGAGATTTAATACAGAGATGCATGTTTCTGTTAATTCTCCCTTGCCATTACTTGCCCGAGTTGCCATTCTTGCCTTTGTAATTTTTGATTGTGCCATCGAGAAAGGTTTACTTAGCTATGGCATTGAGACAGAAAGTACGCAAATTTGAATTGTTATGTTTACGCTGCCATTATCCAGTCATTAATTCTTTTATTTCAATCTCAATAATGTTTTTATTTACATGATTTGCTCATTCTAAGTGGCTGCTGTTTGAGAAATTTAATTATAAGTACGAAACTCGAATCTTCTCTTTCTTTCACCGTTCTTCGAAATGCTAGTATACTAGCTGTATCCCCTTTCTCTTTCTCCTTAATTTAGATAAGTGTACATTTTTTCACACGCGATTCATTTCGAGTTCCCTTTTTGTTATTTGGGAATGATAATTGCTTTCCTAGGTGACTGTTATGGTAGTTTCACCTAGCGGGGATGTGTAAGAACCAGCTGCAATAATTGGCTCAGCGAAGCTGCTTCAACTTGCCATCCTATTCCTGCATACGGGAGGGACCTGACCACGCCCCTCATTTCGAGGCAAAGGTTAACTTCAATGGTGAAATCTTTGTGAGTCTGAGATTTTGCTCTAATTTGAGACAAGCAGAACATGCAGCAGCCGAGGTTGCACTTAGATCGCTTTCACAAAGAGGCCCATCAAGAGCACTAACTGCAAGAGTTTTGGTATTTTTCTGAACTTGTGATAATTAATGTTTTCGTTCTCTTGGTACGTCATTGTCTCAAGTTTCATAGTATTCAATCATATGTCACAGAACTTTAGATAATTATTCGCTCTAGATTGAAACCAACCAAGGTGTGGCTGAATATGAATTTACAACGCTTCTTGTAATCTTTGCCGATATTATTTATCGCATTTTAATTATGGATTAACAGACTACTTGTGGAATTCACCAATAAATGAAGATGATATTCATTTTGGTAATTGAAATTTATTCGCCAATTCAATTCTTTGAGCATCATTTACTAGTACGCTTTTGAAACTTACTAGTACTGTAGAGTGTGTATAACTTAAGCCCCAAAAAAGCAGATAAACTAATTATCAATTAGTATATAAATGGGAGTCTATCATTTGTTATCTTCTTGGAAATTGAAACTTTGTCAGCATATTTGGTGAGGAGGATTGGATTGGATTGCATCACACAGTGCTACGAATAAAAAGAAGCTGAAATCATGTTCATAATACTGCGTACCAAGGAATTGTTTGAGCTCCATTTTCTTTTTGAAAATTAGATTCCGTAATAGTGATTTTTATGGAGAATGTGTGGTTAAAAAGTAGGAAATTTTTTTAGATTTACGTGAATTATTTTATTAGGAGAGTGTGTGGTTGAAAATAAATTTGGGGAAAAATGAATGTTTGAATAATGGGTTCAAACAGTGGCCAACTATGCAGCATGTCTTCCTAATGCATTGCATTTGGAAGTTTTTTACCATATTTTCCCAAAGTAGACCACTGCAACCGGCACATCTATCAGCAAATCCAAATTTTTTTCATCTTCTTTCCACGGTTCCACCACAGGACCCAAACAACAGCATAGTGAAAAGGGGGAAATGCTTCGATTCTGCAGGATAAGCCAGATGAAGTGACAAGTACTCAATATCTTTTGACTACAGTGTCTAGTCGCATTAATTAAACTTTGTTTCCAGCATTGTTCAAAAATTAAAATTAACACGACACATGCCATATTTTCTTTATTGGATAATATATCAATTCTTTCATCATCTTTTCGCAATCTTCTGTAATGCAGGATGAAACTGGAATTTACAAAAATTTACTTGAGGAGACCGCTCACCGAGCCAGGTTAAAACTTCCTCTTTATACTGCTATCAGTGCTGGGCCGGCTTATGCCCCTTTATTTTCTTGCCCAGTCGAGCTCAACAGGATGACTTTTGCTGGGGAGCCAGCCAAAACGAAAAAGCAAGCTCAGAAAAGTGCTGCAATGGCTGCCTGGTTTGCGCTGAAAAACTGTATGTATAGTATCTAACTGCTCCCAATTTCATTCTTTATGGAAAAATGTGGCAAAAAAAAAAAAAACCAAATGCGGCATAGTTCACCTTGAGATTTTGTCAAAAATGGAAATCTACAATAACAAAGTCACTTTTGTTTAGCTGGTTTTGACCTTTATACATCTATTCATCCAGATCACTCCCTCAAGAATAGGAAGAAATAATAGAGTGAATCTGTCAAGAGTATTCCACCACGAGTTGTCAAAGCACGGTTGTCAGTCATCAACCTTCAGCCCCTGACCTAAAATTCATGTGATCTGTACTTGTTCCCCTACCCATTCCAGCTGTCTTAGTCGTCCATTATCTACTCCTCCTTAACTAGCTTGTAAGTGTCTTTTTTTTCTTTACCGGCTTATTTGTGCCCAGAAATGCCTCGACCAATCTTCACTGGACAGATCCGTCCTTGTTCAGGTGTGCGATGCTAACTATCTTGATTGATGAGATAAGATATTCAAGATGCTCGCTTTTCTTCAGGTGCTTGCTCATTCAGTATCCTTGCTACAACTATAAGATTCGGAACCAATCATGCGGCACCGAGTGTCAAAGTGGATTATGTTCCCATGCAACTCTCTGAGACCTTAAGTATTTATACTTTCAATCATGCTAGGGTGCCAGAAAAAATTTGACACCCCAGGTGACACAAATTCACAGTTGGGGGTGGATGGGGAGATTTTTTTGCATTTTATATTCACGTGGGTCCCGTGCAGGCCCATGCACATGTGAGAGTATGTCATCCAAAATGTCAAATTCTTTCTGGCAACATGGCTTAATTCTTATACTTTTCACAATTGGATTTTATTGAGTGTTCCTTGTGCCATATGTAACTTCGCTCATTCTTTTTCTCTCTGGCTCTCTCTCTCTTATTTCTTACGGGACTCATTTAATGAAAATAAATTATTTATACTCAATTCTCATGCAGCGGCGCAGCAAGAATCTTGCTCTTCTGTATCAAGCCTTGGACGAAAGGATGAGCAAGAACAAGTAACTGTTGCTCGTTATTACGCTCGTTTAAAATTACCTGAGACAAGAAATCAGCACAGAAAGAGAGGTGCCAAGTAAAGCAAGAATATTCTCCTGTTAGGAGGGACATGACTCGATATAACACCTGCTTATCATTCTATGAAATGCAACAGCATACATTCATGTATCCTGATCTCTTGCCTGAAGTGGCCTTTTAACCAAGTTGGAATCAACAAGTTTTTCAGCAGCAGAGTACAATTTTTTCCATTTGCACCTTCTATATTCAGGTCAGAAACCAGTTTGTATTCCTTTACAGGGGTGCGCCCAGTTTTCTATTTTTCAAATGATACAGTGCCTCGTCCGATTGGGATTAATTCACAAATTACTATAGAAGAGATACAAGAAAATGCTCAGGGTGAAGAATGTGAAGAAACAAGGGTTATCCATGAGGCCAACTCTGCTCAGTGGAGGGTGAATTCCCCGTCTAATGCATCCTTAATGCCAACAGAGGCTCCAGACTATTGTGAATCCTTCAACAATAATCCCAGCTTGAGAAGGGAAGAGTTTCCAAGCGAGAAAGGTGAAGTCGAGAAAAGCAGATCCGTCCATGACATCAGAAACTCTGGTCAGTCAGAAGCAAGCCTAAATGAAGAATTTAATTGAATGTCACCAGAATTTACTAATGACAGGTCTAGAGAGACGCACGTAGTGAAGTCAGGCAACATTTATCATCTAGTGTTCACTCCCTTACAATGCAGTGCCTAGTTCTTCGAGGCCGACTAGAGGTCCCTTGGCATGTCCACCCTGCGCCACATTGAGGGCCAGAACTGCTGATGGTGATTGGTGCTTTCTCAACCAGATTTATTCCAGGAGGATCAACTATTTCCTCGCCAGACTCAACACCAAGGAATGCAGTTTATCCATCTTTACGCCTACCATTGTTCAATGGCATGAAAATTATCAGAGGTACATCACATGCGGGTTCCATGGCACCAGCGGTTCAGAATCTATCAATCTTGCCCGTGTGTTCAACTCCTCCAGTCAGAGAAAATCCTGACACCTGGCCAGGAGGAGAAAGCAGAAGAAACAGAAAGAGAGGTTTCAGCATCAAGTTCAGAATTTTGTAGGCTCCATATATGATGTTTTTGAGCTTGAAACTTTAATCAATATATTTGCATGTGAAAAATGAATAGGAAA